AACCCCAGCACACAGTAGGTTCTCAATAAATGTCAGTTGCCTCAAGGAATAAGTGAACAAAGGGATGTAATTTATACTGGATGTGAATGAGGTTATCTCTGTTTTGTTTTTATGTGTGAGAGAGAGTGTGTTTGAGCATCAGAGAGGGGCAGAGGGAGAAAGAGAGAGAATCCCAAGCAGGCTCCTCCCTCAGCATGGAGTTTGATGCAGGGCTTGGTCCCACGACCATGGGATCATGACCTGAGCTGAAACCAAGAGTCGGATGCTCAACTGACTTGAGCCACCCAGGTGCTCCTTTTTTCCTTTTTGTTGTTGTTGTTGTTGTTGTTGCTGCTGTTGAGAGAGCATAAGTGTGCATGCACCAGGAGAAGGGGCAGAGGGACTGGGAGAGAGAGAATGTTAAGCAGGCTCCATACATGCATGGAGCCTAACTCAGATCTCCCGACTGTAAGGTCATGACCTGAGCTGAAACCAAGAGTCTGATGTTTAACTGACTGAGTCACCTATGTGCCACAAAGGAGGTTATCTTTGATTTGAGGGGCAATATAACTTTGAGATGTTAACTTCTATTTCCTCCCTGAATTCTCCCTTTTTGTTATTTCAAGTCCAGATCTTGTAGTTATTTGCCCACAGAAAACTACCAGAGAAGCATTCTGAAAGAGGCTGTGTTTGGAGGGGCATGCTCCCTCCTGCAGAGACTGTCCTGGGTACCCAAGAGCAGTGCAGGAGCTGAGAGTCATAAAGGGGTGGTCTGTGGGCCCAGGAGCAGAAGGCGCAGCAGGGAGATGCATGTGGGGAGCCTGGTGTGGGGTGTGGTCTCAGGTCCTGCACTTCGTGTGTGCCACCAGACTTAAGGGACACTGTGGGCTTGGATAATGATGCTGTCAGAGGCACCAGGACACAGGTTTGGAAGGCAGATTTTGTGGTAAGGGGGCTCAGAGCCAGAAGTAGGTGGTTTAAAACCAAGTTTTTTGTTTTTTTTTAAATTATACTCATTCCATACCCTCTCACACTGTAACCAATTCCCACCCCTTCCCTGAAACAACACGCCAACTTGAGGTTTGCTTGCCTTTTGATGAAGGTCAGCTGAGGTTTTCCGTTCCAAAGGTTTTCTTCCTAAGGTTAGTCACACACGAGCTTCAAGGCTGGGGACCCAAGGGAGTAGGAAATCGACTTGAACTGGATACAACAGGAGACAAGCTGGAGAAAGCAGGCAAGAGAACCTGCTTCCTTTCTGTCCCCTTTGTGCCTGCTGGAGAATTACAGATGGCATTCTGCAGCAGATACAGATACCACCAGAAGGCCATCTGTCCCCTGAGCTCCTGCAGCTTTCCAGAGCATTCCTGATAGAGGGCCATACCTCTGCTGGACATTTTTTTTTTTGTAGCCAATTCCTGCCTCTTCAGCCTAACCATCTTTGACCCTCAAAAGCCAGAACAGCCCCCTCCCCTTTTAAATTTCAAGTTGTCTAGTGACTCAGCACACAGATTTGTTTTAGCTTGGTGAAATGCATAGTCGCAGAGCCAGGAGAAGAACAATATGAACCAGTGGAAGGAACATAAGCATATCTTAAACATATTAACATAGGCCCTGAAGTTTCACATTGAAGAAAGATGTAATTACAAAAATAATACTAATGGAAAGAAAGATCACAAGTTTACTTAATAATCCATGGGTGAAAGGTATTAGGGTTTACATGGGTAAAGGTATTGGGAACACATGGTTGAGTATCTTTGATGTTTTCATTAGATATTTCAGGATAACATTAAAAATAAATTCATTTAAGGCCGTAACGGAGAACCAATTATTAGGGACTGCCCAAATATGATCACTCCTGGACAAGAAGGAACCAAAACAGAAATTTCTAGAAAAGAATGAAGAACCCTTCATAGCAAAATCTAAGGGACAAGAAAGCTCCACTTAGAGAAAAATTTATAGCCTTATAAACCTCTTCCTTAAAATAAAATAAAAATTAACCAATTATTTGTCAAAGGAAATTTAAAAAATTACAATTCTTCTGAACAAGAGAAATCAAGAAGAGCAAATAAACCTAAAAGCTTAAAATATTAAAAGACAAGGCAAGGGGTGCCTGGGTGGCTCAGCTGGTTAAATGTCAGACTTCGGCTCAGGTCATGATCTCATAGTTTGTGAGTTCAAGCTCTGCATTGGGCACTCTGCTGTCAGCACAGAGCCTGCTTTGGATTCTCTGTCTCCCTCTCTCTCTGCCTCTCCCCTGCTCTCTCTCTTTCTCTCTCTCAAAAATAAATAAACATTTAAAAATTTTTTAATTAAAAAAAAGACAAGGCAAAAAGTATGGTCAAATGTACCCACAAATCCAAAACTTGTTTCTTTGAAAGATTAGATCAACTTTGTGAAGCTGATTAAAGGGGGGAAAAAGGAAGAGAGCAAAGATATATAAAATTAGGAATGAGAAAAGAGAAATAACCACAGATACAGAAGATATTAAATGTATAATATATAATTAAATAATATATAGATCATTCCCAGTTGGTCATATTGTATTATTTCCTACATACACTGCTAGATTCCAATAGGAAGGATCTTCATAGAGGAAAGCCCATCAGAATGGATTCTCATATAGAAATAAAAGAAGGCAGGAATGCAACTTGGATTCCAGTGGCCATTTCAACAAGAAGACAGGAACCATGGACCTTGAGCAAAAACTGTCAAGAACCATGTAAAAGTGATCATCTTAAAAACTGCTCTGTCGGGGCGCCTGGGTGGCGCAGTCGGTTAAGCATCCGACTTCAGCCAGGTCACGATCTCGCGGTCCGTGAGTTCGAGCCCCGCGTCGGGCTCTGGGCTGGTGGCTCGGAGCCTGGAGCCTGTTTCCGATTCTGTGTCTCCCCCTCTCTCTGCCCCTCCCCCGTTCATGCTCTGTCTCTCTCTGTCCCAAAAATAAATAAAAACGTTGAAAAAAAAATTAAAAAAAAAAAACAAAAAACAAAAAAACTGCTCTGTCATATTCGTCGCTCTGGCTCTGCCTCTCCACAGGTTTGCGTGGAACCCTTGACAAGGCCTGAATGCTTGTCCTCAGGGGCAACTAAGCAAAGACAACAACCGCCCTGGCATCCAGGCCTGGGGAGATCAGAATGGCAAGAGTGAGTCATGGTTGCTCTTAAGAGTTGAGCACAGTAGTTGAAGACCGAGGCGGAGGAAATGGAGCACAGCTTCGGACTGAAGAGTGACTCTGGGTTATAAGGTGAAAGGTCTATTAATTTGGCTCAGATTTAGACAAGCCTCCCTCCTCCTCACGTGATTAGCTCCTCTCATGGACCATGGACTCATTTCCTTCAGCAATCTCTGTTAACCTTGTGTCTTCATTCTGTCCCCATCTTTTCTCCACCTTTATCTCTCCCGTTCACTCCTTTTCCCCCTCAAAGTCTAACTTTTGCCTCCCCTCTCCATGAAACTACTTTAAAGTCCTAGTTTAAAATTCTTGTGTTACATTTCTTTGCTGTATCTCCTGCAACTGGGGTTTCTCACAATTCACACTGGGCCATTTCCACTTGCTATTGCCTACGGGCTCTGGGAAGTTTATCACTTAAAGCTAGAGTCCCAACTCAGATCAAAATCTCTTTGGACTTTGGTTTACCCATCTGTTAAGTCAAATAATTGTGTTAGATAATTACTATATTTTCTTCCAGCAAAATTTATATAAGCCTCCTTAGTCCTTCTCTGCTGGAACCAACTCCTTTCCTCTGTGAATAAAATTTTATTTGTATCATGAATTGCATCAATTTATTCAACACATCATTTGAGCATCCACTTCAGGTCAAGATTTAAGTCAGAGGAAGAAGAAGCAAAGAGGCAAACAAGGCAGGCACAGCCACTGCCCCCCCAAGAGTAGCACTATTGGTGTGGATACAGGGGATCAGCCTCTTCTGAAACAATTCCCTCAGAGCAGGAGCCAGCGCCTCTCCCCATCAGGGCTTTGCACAAAGGCAGTAGAAACACAGACTTGCCCAAAGTGTGAGAAGCCCTTGTGCACTGAACCATTGCCTGCCCACTTACTTTGCTTGTGGAGGAAGGCCAGGAGCCGGCAGCAAGTCCAGCTGGGAAGCAGAGAAGGTGGTGGTGCTTTCCCTGCATGCTGCCTGTTTTAATGCGCCTGGGAAAAGTTTCAGGATTCTAAATAAAATGGAAAACAAACTATGTAAAGGGCAGTCCTTTTTTTTTAAGCACTCAGTTGAGATTTCAAATAGCAGTACTTTTCACTTCAGATAGAGGATTCAACGTTATTTATTTTTCTTCTTTTGTTTAAGTAAAGCCAGATGTTCAGCAGGTGTGAATCGGAGGCTTTCAAAGGTGGTGAGGACAAATGACCATTTTGGTTCAGATCGCTAAAATGATCAAAGAACACTTACATTTAAGCATCAAGAATGCAAAAATGATTAAAAAAAAACATAATACAGTGCCCTTATGAGAAAACATTGTAAAAATGGCAACATTGAAAAGTAGTCAGGTTCTACAACAGACTGTTGGGTCTGTAGCTTCTCATCGAAAGTTTTTTTCTCACAACAAATTTTCATAAAGCAAAATGATTCCTAGAGCTAGAGTGCTGAGTTCTATTCAATGAGTAGTCTCTGACTAGAACAACTTGTCATGGCACATGTGTTTCATTTCATTCATGCTGCCCGTCAGTCATTGTGGAAGCTGGTTTTGTGCATGTGACCTACGAGGAACGACAGTTTGGGGCTGAAAAAGATGGTATATTTTTGCCGAAGACATTCCATTTTCCAAACCACCGACTGTATGTAGGAGTACTAAGGGCCTCCCGGGATGAGTTCCATCAGCAAAGAAAACCATTGTGGGACATTCAGAAGATCTGGGTCCTTAGTAAATGAAATGTAAACACGTAAGTTTATTTGGGACACCAACACTTTTAAGGTTGGAAGACACCGGAAGACACAAATGGTTGCTGCAATACACAAAAGTTTATTTTTGATTTTTTTTTCTTTTCTGAAGGCAAAATATAATAGAACTGAACATCAATGAATTTTGTACAACAAAAACAGCTTTTAATATGGAACAGACAGTCCATGAATGATTTAAAATCTCGGAATGGCTTCCCTTTTTCAAAGTCATGCTTTCTTACGGTCCACGAGGAGTTGGCACAAAGAGACAGTGGCAGCCCGCTGGGTGAGCTGAGGGGAAGGACGGGTGGGCTTCCCTAGATCCGCGTCAGCTGGTGCCACAGGCTGGATGGGAGGATGCTTTCCACTTTCTCCATGACAAAGTTTAGGGGGGCAAACAAAGTGCTGAGGAACTGCAAAGAAACCAGAAAGGCAGAGAGTCAGGAGAGATCTCGTTCAAGGCTATAAAATGAACCTCTCCAACCTACACTTGCATCTTCAGTCTCGGTATCATGTAAGTCTCAAAGGCCACAATTTTATATTTATGTTTATGGGAAACATAGTTGATGACCACACCTGAGTTCCAGCCCCCACCCCCAGCTCTGATAGGTAAGGAGGAGAAGTGTCTGCTGCTGCCCCCTTCACTCCTGACAGCAGACCCACAGTCCCCAGTCCTTCCAATTCGTCTTCAGGATCTGCGCTGCCCCTACAGGTGCCATTAAAAGGGACTGACAGTTGGGTGACAAGTAGGCTGAGGAGTTAAAAGATGGTGACAACTTAGATCACCTGCCTGCCTAGCTGGGTACAGAACCCACTTTAAGTGGACAAGGCAATTTCAAAAAGGCAAGTTTGATACATGGCTGTAAATTGCTTTGGGATCCTATCGTCTCCGAAACACCTCTGTAGCCCGTGCTCATTTCTGAACTACCTGCTTAGTGGAGTGCATCATGGACGCCTGGGGGAGGGCAGAAAACTGGCCAGTCCATGGATGACATGTCCTTGTTGAAGAAGTGCTGTCTGAGGAGATGTTTGGGAGCTCTCTCATTTGGTTTCTAAACTCCTTTCTGCTTTTCATGTAGAGAATAATGCTCATTAACAGTGCCTTTTAAGAAAGCCAAGTGCCTTGCCTGAGACTCATTTAACATAACCTCAAATTTGTTCTGATTATGTTCTTGTGAAGAATCAGCTTCATTCTTCAAACCACTCAGCATCTGGCAGAAGAGGTCCCCTAACAGAGCCCCATATGAGACAGAGGTGTCTGGGTGGTTTCCATGCTCTCCATCTGTTTAGAACCAAGGTATTATCTCGTTAGGGTTCAATACCTGGTTCTTACACTGTGGCGTTCTTTGTCCTAATCCCTTATCCTCAGCAGAGCACAGTCTATACCACCAAGGGTAGTATGTAAATACACATGCAGAGGGGGAACATGGTTCTGAGGTCAAAGTAGTAGTATATTTAATGAAGTAAAACAGGCTCCTCCATTGGCCATATGTTCTATGACTTCAGGTCTTCAATAAGGGGTATGGCAGGCAAGTTTCCAAAATTCACTTGACCTCAGAATCTTTCCTTTTCTCTAGTTGTTTTTAAGAAGCAGTAGAATACTACTTGGGAAGGTCTGTGACACATTATAACTGGACCATTAAGTGTGACATTAGAGTGAGGAAACTCAAGATAGTGTAAGATTTGGAATCTTTCCCCATGCTGTGTCTTTTACATCAATTAAATGTATTTACTCAGTAAGGCACCTAAGGGCTGGATGAAATATAAAGGAGTCTGGGAACAAACTCCCATTATCAGGGAGCTCAAAGCCTAGGGTCATCGGGGAGGGATAGGTGGCCACAGAGATCTTTACACAACAAAGTAATAGTACCAGATAGACCATCATAGAATGGAAGATGGAAGATAAAAGCATCAAGAGGATTCAGAAAAGGGAGAGAATCCATTCGGATTGAAAGAATCAGGAAAAACTTAAAATGGAGCAACTGAAATAGACCACAACGGATGGCTGGGATGTCAGAGATGCAGATGGGGCAAGGATGGCAAGGAGAGAAATACAAGCAGGTGATCCCTCCAGGTTCAATGAGCAGCTGGAACATAAATGGGAAAGTAACTGGTATGCTCAGAAGAGGATAAATACTTCAGCTTAGCTCAATAGTGCAGAGTTTAAAAGTGACCAGAAGAACTCTGGGGAGGGCCTTGAATGCCACCTTGGGTTTGGAGTTAAGAAATAGGCAGCCATGTTAGCACTTGAGCAAATGTGGATGGCTCTTTCATCAAGTGGGTCTTAGATACATGGCAATTTCTGGTAACCTTCTGAAACTGTCCTTTGTTACATGCACAGAACCATGTGGGATGCTCTCCCTGTGGCCCAGGAATGAGTAATTACTACCCAAGCTGCTGATGACAGAGTTTGTAAAATCCTAGCAATGAGAAGATTGTTTGTTTATTAAAATCCTAGTTTTGAGATTTTGTTTGTTTGTAATCTGAGACCACTAAGGCTCCATAAAACACAGCATCTGCCTATAATCCTAGTTCCATAAAGAGGAGCCAGGTGCTGACGTAGTCTGGATAAACCAGAGATGCTGACAGGGGTTGTTAGTTGGGGCTCACCAAACAAGTGATATTGCTGGTGAAGTTATCATATCCTAAAGACTTGACCTAAAAAAGATTTAGAACCACCGAAGTTGTGATGGAGTGGGTAAGGAACTACTGAATACTAGCATGAGCTACTGTGGTTAGATGAAAGGCATCGCTCATGGTCTGTATTCTGGGCAATTTCACGCACTAAATGTGGGACACCAAGGAGCCTCAGCTTGGGTAGCAGAGCAAATGAAGAGGTCGTTACAAAGTTGCTTCAAAATAAGGCCTGTTTGTTTGCTTTGTTTTGGGCACTGACCTGACTTGCATAAAAAGAACAAAAGTGGGGCCTCTGGAAATCAAGAGGGGAATCTCCCACCCTGTTTGATGTCTGTAACTGCCCCTCTTCCCACACTGCACAGTAAGACACAGTGGGCCCTGACTCCTTGAACTTCACCTGACTTCTCAATAAGGTTCCGCAAGAGAAATGAAGTCCTACCACCTCCAGTATATGTGATGATTTACTGCTCTCCCTCATATCTAGAGTGGTCCGTTCTTGGGAGAATTGAGAAAAGAATCCCCAGAACCTTTTCATAAAGATCCTAATTCTCTCGCAGCACCCAAGTGGGGATGTGCACCTTTTATTACTAAGCTACCTCCCTCCTCAGCACCCCTCCCTGCATCCTCTTCCCCATCCCTCTCCCACAGGGAAGAAGCATACAAGGTAATGAGGCGTCTGAAGCTGATAAGCCCTCTCATTCAGTAACCAGATAAAGGTTAGTGGCTTTCATCAGGAGGTATAAAAAACAAGTTTGGGAGAACATGCCTTGCTTTGGATGTTCATTTATACTTGTTTGCATGTTTGAAAATCAGACAATACTTTTTGGCCAGAGACTCATCCAATGCATGGAGAAACGGCAGTTTCACTTACAGACTCGGGAAATTTATGGCCTGAAAAGTTTAGTCTGAATGAGCAACACCAGGCACCCCTGGAACAGCTCGTCTATCTCAACATCCAAAACTTCTGTCCAGAGGGCAGAGATACATGGTCCAAAACGCACTGTGATTCAATCAGTGTCTTATGGTGAGAAAAGGCAACTGAACTAATAAAAAAGAGAGAGTGACACTTCAATCGCCTGATCCTCCTTTTCCCAAAACACCATTATTTAGAAGAAGGTCATGGCTCCCAACGTGCTTCGTTAACATTCAAAATGCCTCTGCTTATCTGAATAAGTTCCAGGTGCCCTATGCAATCAGACAATTGACATTTCACTGTAATCAATATCAGACTTCAAAGAGGTCAAGGCCTAGAAGTGAAGATGAGAGTCAGAAGTCAGGGGGCTCAGTCTCAGTGAAGGAGAGAGATCAGAGGAGGAAAGACAGAGCCCTTCAAAGCAGACAGGGTCAAAATGCTGACCTTCCCACATTCTATGAGGGGCTGGGTTTGGAACGATAACTTATTTATATGAGCAACCTTATCTTAGTAACCAAACATTCTAGGAAGAGTTAGTCTTAAGTCATTGAGGTAGATTAGATTAGGGGGGAAAGCCAGTTGAAGCCGTTCGTTTTACTATTTTCCAGTGGCTCCCACTTTGCTGTGGGCTTCTTTACTGGCTGCATATCAACATATAAACACACTGGAGAGTTCCCAAGCTGCATGTAGCCTGGGGGGTGCCAGTGCAATCTCTCTGCATCTACTAAAAGTCATTATCCCAGGGATATTATCTCAGGCGAGGGCTGAGAAAGTCATTTTCACAAGCTGCAAATGGTTGTGGGAAGCCTATAGGGCGACTGCGATAACGTGCAGGGGGCTTCATGAGAGGCCTGCAGCAGTGAGCAGGGTGAAAACATGGGGGAAGACTCTGGGGACAACGTCGGGGGAGAGGGACGGTGCCTGTCTCCTTCAGGCCATCCATCTTCCTTCCCCACAAAGTCTCTCTAAACATTTTGGAAACTGTTAAACCTTCAGGAAGGGCAAGATGAATGTGATCTTCCAGGCAGAGGTTTAAAAGCAAATTTATCTAAACTATATTTGGTTATTATGAGTAGCTGACCAAACTACTGCACCTCGGTAGAGTATAAAATTGGAGGACCATAAGGCAAAATGATATTTTATTCAATCATCTGATCTAGACTCAAAACCAGAGCTTTGGAAACATTAAATGATCCATAATGAACACATCACTGATATTCTGGAGCCAGTAGAGCCTTTTCTAGGGACACTCAGTTGTATTCTATTTACTATCCTCCACTCCCCCAGACCCTTCCCTGGTTAATGCAGTTTCAGGCCATTAGTCATTTCATTCAATATGGTGGTCTCGGCCCTGGCTGCACACCTGAATCGCCTGGGAAGCATCTGAAAACTTAAGATGCCCATGCCGCACCCCAGGCCAGTGAAGTCAGGAGGCAGGCATTAGTCACTTGTAAGCTCCCTAGGTGATTCCAAGGTATAGCCAGGGCGAAACATCTGTCACCTTCGAAAGCTTTCCCCCCAGTGGCACTGGCACAGCACCACGTACTTGTGAGTGGCTGCTCAGATGTTCAGCTTGCTAGAGACCAGTGTTCCTAGAAGCAGGTATGGTGCTCAATACCTCACTCAGAACCTGCTGGAATCCTTGTTAAAAACACAGATTTCTGGGTGCTAGCACTCAATATTCTGAGTTTCTGGTGGTGGGGCCAAGTGAATTTTTTTCACACTAGAGGGTGAAAATCTCTATTCTGATCCAAAATCCCACCAACTGCTATTTGTTTACTGAAAAATACTGGGACAATGACATATTTTTACAAAAATGCTCTAAAAAATGTTTAAGAAAGGGACATAAAAGGAGGAAATATAATTGTCTACTATTGTAAACATATTCCTATTTTAAATTTTGCTAAGTTAAACTCTAGTCTATTCAGAATTTTGGCAACTATTTTTACTCAGAGGTTGGCTTGGGAGTATAATAATGAATAGTGGAGGTCCATAAACTAGGGAACATCCAACATGGGGCGTTCTGGGTTTAAAAATCATGTTATATACAGAAGACTTAAGGAAATTTGAGATGTTTTACCAAGAGTCAGAGGTCAGAGGTCACCACGAATGTATTAGCTGTCATAAGAATTTGCAAGAAGGAGACTTGTTGAGTATAGTTTTGGAGGGTAGATAGGAACAACAGGTGGCTATTAGAGGAAGGCATATTTTATATAAAGAAGACTTCTGAGTGATCCAACAATGAAATGGGCTTTGATGTTAAGTAGGCAAGTTCCCCATCACTGAGAGCATTCAAGAAGACTCTAAATGACCTCCATCCCATTACTCTTGAAGGCAGCTTAAGGTCCCTTTCAACTCTAAGAGTCCATGATTATAATTACAAAAGAAGAGGAGAAATGCTAAACTGTATCTGATTTTTACAGTGATTCTTTCTGCAGAAACCACTACCATTTATTTATTTAATAATCATTTATTGAAAACCTACTACGTGCAAGGCACTGTGCAAAGCTTTGGGGATACAGAGATGAGGAAGACACAGTCCTGCTCTCAAGGAGCTCACATTCTAAAAGGGGGACGGACAAGTTTTAACAATTATAGTACAATAAGTGTGATAATATAGGTATTCATAGAGTACTGTGGGATCACGGAGGAAAGACCTCTAACTCAGCTTGGGAGAAACTTAGAAAGAAAGCTGAGTGTAAAAGAGTGAAGAGGAGTTAGTAGAGTGGACAAGCCAAGGTGGTGATGGGGAAGGGCATTCCATGCAAAGCAAAAGGCACGTGCAAAGGCACTGAGGTGTACAAGAGCCTGTGCATCTGGGAGTGGTGAGTCACTATGGTCTAAGAGCAGTGTCTATGCAAGAGGTGGGAGAGATGAGGCTGAAGAGGCAAGCAAGGCATGATTGTAAAGGACCTTGCTTTGCCTTGCTAAACATCTGGGACTTTATTCTGAAGTTGGTGGGAAACCTTTGGAGAAATTCAAGCAGGGAAGTGACATGCTCAGACTTGCATTTTAGAAAGATCATTCTTGTGTCAGTACGAGAGAAGGACTGGCAGGGGATGGAACTGGAAGCAAGGAGACCAGTTAAGACTCTGGCAGAGGAGTCCAAGCAAGAAATAACAAGACCTAAACTGAGAGAGATGCTATGGGGAGAGAAGGGGCCAAGTAGGGATGAATTACATTTACTGAACGCCTAGTAGCATTGGAGGTTAGATCCGACAGACTGGGAGCTGAGACAGGTAGGGTGTGGAGAGTGAGAGAGGAGCCTGGGAGGGCTCCTGCGCTTCTGGCTTGAGTAACTGGGTGGATGGCAGAGGCAATGGCAGAGGTCAGGAATACAGGAGGAGGGGTGGTTTTGGTGGTGGGGGAAGAGCGTGATGAGTTCAGTTTTGGAAATGTTGAGATTGAGGTGCCGGTGGAATTTCCAGTTCATCTTCAACACGCATGAAAATGCTCTTGCAATTCCAGTCCCTGAACTCTGCCGAGCAGAAAATGTCAATCATCTGGAAAGGGATTAAATCACCCAGCCAAGTTAGAAATCATCCTTTCTGACTCCACTCGCCTTGAAATCAGAATGGAGTTCCAGGAAAAAGCATTGATACTCTTTTCCTTATTCCTTCTGTTTGAAACCCATCTGTGGCAAAATCCTTACACTTATCCTCACTGCATGTGAAGGTTAAAATGGTTGGTTTTCGGGGAGCCTTGGTGGCTCCGGTTAAACAGCCGGCTTCAGCTCAGGTCACGATCTCACGGTTTGTGAGTTCAAGCCCCGCGTCGGGCTCTGTGCTGACAGTTCAGAACCTGGAGCCTGCTTCGGATTCGGTCTCCCTCTCTCTCTGCCCCTCCCCCGCTTGCACTCTGTCTCTCTCTCTCTCTCTCTCTCAAAAATAAACGTTAAAAAAATGGTTGGTTTTCAACAAGGAAACAATGGCTCTTGATTGTCAATGCAGATGGCTTTTCTTATTATTAAAGCTCCTCTCCACAGTCCTACTTAAAGACTCTTACTGGATTTCCATATTCTAAATGTCGCATCTGTATATTTCTTAATACAAGTTCTTAATATACTTTTTAATTACGAGCCCTTCACACGTTCTCAGCTCATTCCCCCAACAAGCCAACAGTTTGTACCCATTAAAATATTTATTGAAATCATCTTTGAAAATGTAAATCTCATGTTTATTGAAGGAAAGACTCACAATATCTAAAGATTAGAAATAATGTCATTCAACTTATGTAAAACTGAGTAATTTCCCATACATTTTCTCATTTACTAGGATTCCCTTAATTATTTATTTAATCCTTTTAGGCTTCATGCTTTTTTTGAAATCTGGTAATTTTTTTGTGAAATGAGGCAAGGCATGCATTTACAAACAACCTACACTTTTCTCATTTGACCCTCAACCTTTTGATTCTACTGATGAAGATGAAAATTAAACAGTGAGCAAACAATCAATACAGGTATATCCATTTCTACACAACACTCCTTCATGTCTCTTCTCCTTCCCTTCACTTCCCTTGGCTTCCCATGTCCCTTCCCTCAGGCCCCCCTCTTGGCAAATACTCACAGCTTTTGCAAAGACCCCCATGAGTTCCGGGAACTGATGTGTCAAGAGGGCCAGCATGGCTGTGAAGGAACACAATCCGGCAGTGAAGAGGATGAAGAAGGGAAGCTCCTTCTTTGGGTAAACTGAGACTTCATGGAAAGCTGTGGAGAAATGCAGATGGAAACATGAGTGCCATAGTGAAATGCATCCTCAGGGAATTTCTGTACGTGGGACTGACTCTTCAGAACTGTGGCTGAAGCCTCTTGGAAATGAAAAGGGCAGGGTACTTGAATGAACCAGAGCCAACATCTGAGCCAGCCTCTGGCTTGCCTATCTGCTTCTCCCAAGCCCATGTTCAACCTTGAGCGCTCTACTGGGGAGGCATGATAGGGCTAATTTGAGGATGTTACATATTTTGGGGCAGGAACAGTAACACACTCTACGCCTAATACATAGTATTACTTTCTCAAAAGGAAACACAAATAAAACAAAACCTTATTCACATTATAAAATACATGTTCATTGGACAAAACCCGGAAAACCCAAAACTAAGTCTACTGGGAAAAAAAAAAAATCTTCTCTCTAGATTTTGACCTTCCTGTAATATTTTAGTCATTATAATGAGGCGATATTAGTTTATCTTGTATTTTTTCCTGGCACACTCTAAGTCTGTCAGTGGAGGGAGCCACCCTGATAGACATTCAGCAAGGACCTCACATGGTGGCCAATTCAATCTGCAAAGGTTGGAAATCAAGGCTGCAGGGGTCATCCGGCACAATTGTAGGAGAACCGTAATGATAAATACACTTCCAACAATCACCAAAAAAAAAAACCTAAACCAAAACAAAACAAAAACAAAAACAAAAAAAACAACCAAACAACCAAAAAACAAAAACAAAACAAAACAAAACAAACTGGTGCTCTTTAGACCCCCTTCCATAACTTCAAAGTTTCAAATGTTGGGTTTGGGAAAACCAAAGAACAGGTGGTGCCAATGCCAAGGGAACAGACCCCCTGCTTTCTGCTCACCGTGTGGCTGTGAGCAGCCTGGGCGCTGGGGGTGCCCTCCAGGGGAGATAAGGCTGGCCTGTGCAGAGAGAGGGGCCCCAGCTGCAGGCACCCTGGTTGAGGGGGCTGTAAAACTGCCTGTGAGCAGTACTGCCACTGGAACCGAGAGGGTCCAAGTGCTCCACGTTCTTCAGGAAATCCAAGATCTGAAGGCCTTTCTGCGACTGTTCAGCTCTCATTACTTACAGCCCTAAACTATAACCCGCTTGGCCTGAAAGTGAGGGTGGAGACAGCAGGGAGGGACAGAGCACAAAGAAGTGTGCACACCTGAATCCGGGCCATCTACCTGCTGGGATTCGAAAGAAGGTACAAGCACGCTTGGGGCCTAATGTCCAACAAGGGTACTTTTAAAGTGCAAAACGTGGGTAGCATTTAAAACAATCGGCCCTCTTTGTATCCACACCATCCTTGCTGTCAACACCCAACCCCCGAAAGATTTTAAGGGGAGATCAGATTTTGGGCGACTGCATTCAGTTCAAGAAATGAGAGTCATAACTTTCTATTTCAGGTTCATAAAGATTACTCCTATGAAGTTTCTTTTAAGAGCTATAATCTCGTTCTAATAGTGAATCTAGTCCCATGGAAACTTAATTGGATTCAAAGAAAACATTTTAAAACTGTGCTTTTCAGAAAACTGCCATTCTTACTAGAAATGGAAATTTTAACAAGGGTCTCCCTGAAGGAGAGTCCAAAGGTAAAGTGTGGGCACACATAACAGAAATTTCTGGAATAGAATCTAATGTAGTGTGAGGCATTTTCACAATAAAACTTGGGCAAGGAGCAACGCATCACTGAACTTTCCCGGCTCCATGAGGAACAAACATGACATTGCCTCGGGCCAGCAAGGAAACAGGTGAGCCACCTCTCGCTGCTTCAGTCTAAGAGAGCAATTCGTTTTGCACCCAGACCCCACCATGTTGGGGATTTATGATAGGCTCAATAACATTGGCATTGCACAATTTATTATTGGAGCACCTAGGGCTCCAAACTTAACACTACTCCCCTGGGCTCTGAGATAGGCTATACCTCGGGTGGGTCAAAGAGAGGTGGTGGTAGGAGAGAGGACAAGGGAGAGAGAATAGCCAAAATTTGGAGCTTATTATCTGAGGGAGGAAAATATGTCCTAAGTCAGGGCCACACGAAGAGCCTGGACAGGATCCCCGAATACAGTATGATTTGATAATAGCTATTTAGCAGGACTTGTCAAAACAATGTCGTATTACAGTAAACCAAATCATTCTTCCCACGTGCGGTGTGGACCAAGAGACTGCCAGCTTGTAAGGTTCTTGAGGGCAGGGTTCCCCCTCTTCTTGCTGCATACAGTGCTGAGGCTGCACGTGTGCTCTGCACATGTCATGCCAACCCACTATGTGCATCCACGAGCTGCTCATGGGAAATCCCTCTGGCCAAGAGCATTGCATCACCACAGACAGCACGCCCGCCCTGCCCCACGACTCTGCCTCTGGCAATGATGCCAGCGTCCTGGCACTGCCCTCTCATCCGTGACTCATGTGCAGCACCCTCTGAAGTCAGTGCTTCCTCTTCAAACTCCACTCTGTGCAGACTGCATTTGACCAGCTGGGCCACGCAAGGGGGAACCACGCACAGTGGACCAGCCCGTTCACATCAGCCTGGAACTAGGGGTCTCTGTGCTCAGGCCAACTGGTACATGATAGCTCTTCATTTAAATTTAAGTCCTTGGAGGTCTTTCCCTTTGATGAATCTGGAGGGACTTGGAGGAGCAGGATGCCAAACCCACACACATAACTCATTTTAATGCATATGCTATCCAGTAAGGACAGGGCTTGGGAGAAGAGTAATAAAAGACAAGGAACACTGTAAACATTTATCATTCCCACCTCTTCCCATCCCCACATTCGTGCACACCACCCTCACTGGCTGAGGAGAGGAATACAGAAGTGAGACTTACATGGAAGCAGCTCTCGATCTGCTGTTTCTGTACAGATTGGGTAAGGATAAAACAGATGTCCCTTTTCCAGGGGATAAGGGATCATCCGAAAAGCTGAAAATGAGAGACAATATGTTAGAGGTTCAATATTTGTCTCATAACTTCTCGATTTCAAAAAGGGGCTTTCGAGCATTTTTATAATGGTAAACAGTTCTACAAGTAACTCCCAGAAAGGATGCAAGAGTTACCCAAACTCTGAGTTATATGCCAGATAAGCTGTCAGAGATGCATTATGATGTATGACTCACACATTTATCTCACACTATATATTCTGGGCAAACCTCACAAAACTGGGTGGGGATAGGGTGCAGGGGAGTAGGGAAGCCATCAGCTCAATGCCCAGGATTTCCTCATCTACAAAGTATTATTAAAATGTCACAAGCACTAATTCAATATAGCTCAACTGATGGTAATAACACAAACCTGGATTGAAATGCTTCCCCAAGAAGCAAATGTGGATTGACTAGCTGAAGCTTGTTATAGATGTACAAATATGAAAGGCATTCTACCATGTCTATTTAAAAAACATGTCTAGGTGGATGAGAATTCCAACCAAGATGGACAAAAGTGCAAACCTAAAATTGTATGACTTGGGAGGTATTTCTAAACTTTAAATGAAACTTTTCAATCTTCAATACCATGTGGGGGGAAAAATGGATCTGGAGAGATTGATTATCTGTGTTTTGATGATGTCAGGCCACCTAAATTCTGCTCTTGTGGCTTCAGATAACATGAGGTCTCACACTGAATTATGGCTTTCCAATCAATCCATCCCTTTCCATTATCACGTGTGTTACTCTCCCTGTTACGATGTCATCAGCATGTTAGTCTCACTGTTGCTATGAACTTAGTGCTCACAGAGTAATTGTTCTTCAACAGATGTCCTTTAACTACAGCATGCTGTACATGTAAAGTATAAAAACGACACCCTACATTGGCAAGGTCACATAACAATCCTTGCTTTCATGTGTATCAAAGAGGAGTAGGTAGGGGCAACACAACAATCTTTTTAGTCTTAAATGCTGCATTTCAAGGAATCGTAGCTACATCCTCAGCTGTGTAATTACCTCCACCTTCTCAAAATGCCATCAATGTACGTATTTATCTTTTGCATACTTATTTCAAATGGGAATCAGAAACAAAGAATGTTCTCCCTCACAAGAAATGACAAGGTTCCATTGTAACCAGCATCAGTGCACATATGGTATTTATTCTGGTGTCTGAATATTATTTAAAAGTAAAAACATTATGTATGTGATTCCAGCATTTGGAATGCAGTCAATCTACACCACAGTGGTATCACTCTGAGGTTACAGCACATTGCCATGGAGAATATAAATCACTAGAAACGTGGGATTAGAGCAGAGCCAGTGTGCTGGCAGTTTGCTGAGGTAAAAATGTTATCAATTTTCCTCTTGTAACAGAAACCTCTTAAACGGAGATTAAAACATTAAAAACACCCCAGACTTTAACTCTTCTTAAAATGAAAGGCTCACCCTAGTTCAATCAGACTTTTCTTTCACACAAAGATGGCTTCTGCTCACTGCAACTAACAAGAGGCACTCCCTGCACAGGTTGTTAGCACGCAGACATCACTCGGAGGAACCAGTATGTCTCAATAGGTTTGCAAGACGAGGAAAAAAAGTACAAAACAAAACCAGTGCCTTAACAGGGTATGCTAAAATCTCTTCTGGGAAGCAGTGTGTTTAAATTTAAACTGCAGTATGGCAGGATTTTAATACCGTTTCCCATAAATGAAGGCTGCTATGAAAGCATCCCAAAAATGTGGAAAAACCTACGTGGAATTTTTTTTTTTACCCCAGATTCTCTATGCACGACAGGGCTGCTGTAATTATGAATCTGTTCAGGTTCACATGATGTAAATAAACCCTCACTTTTCAAAGCGGCTATAAATTTGAATGCTAAATTTTACTCAAAATTGAAGTCAGTCTGCACTTCAGGGAGCAATTTTTTAAGTGAAATATAGGAGTGCAAGATCTTGAGAGTGTTCAACCATAGAAATCAAATGGTTGGTTGGTGTCTTTTCAGTCAGATGCCAGATCTTTTTTTCTGCAGTGTTTGGCGTGCATACAGGATTCTGTGCATCAAGTTAGTCTTTTCCTTCTAATCAGTTCTGGTCTTTTTGGAGAGGGTGGAGAGAGTGGTTACATACAACTTACACACACACACACACACACACACACACACAGTCGTCCTGCACTGTTCTCCCCACCTCGCCCCCTCCCATGGCTCCCTCCCTCGCAACCTCCACGACTGAAAGATGTTTGGGGCGCTCTAAAAATTTCGTTCTCGTGTCAGTTGTCATTTACATCGAGTTCAGAAAATAAGATTAAGCTTTTTGGCTTCACTAAACAAAAGCAAATACAATTTCTGTTTGCAATTCTATCCCTCAGCCACCCTGCTGTGCAGGGTCCAGGAGAGTGTGAGATAAGCAGTGGAGGTCTGGGGAGAGCAGCAAGAGGCACTACAGAAGCCCCACCAGCCTCACCTCCCACCTCCGGATCCCCTCGTTGAGAAGACAAGAACCTCGTGGCTTTAGCTGAATGTCCAGAAATTTTGCAAGTGCAAGTAGTTACATGCTGATCTGATGGTGGAAAGAGGAATTAAAAAAAAAAAAAAAAAAAAAAAAGGGCATCTATTTTATTAATTTTATCTATTTCCTAAGTGACTACAAAGCTCCTAAAAATCTTTGTCTGGAAAAACACACGTTTCAGAGGCATTAAAAATGTACATGCATTTGGTTAAAAACAAAACAAAAAAGCTGGGCCACTCCAGGTTAATGCATAATACACGAACAGCATTTCATGTCTGCATTTTCCTCTATGTGCCGTCACCTCTCCTACCTTGACTTCTGTTGAGCCATTAAGGAAGAGACAAAATGAAATGGGGAGCCAGTTAATGAACACATAGGACCCCCACAGCAAAGTCTGAGGCATTACACTGCTGTCTTTTCTCCCTGACCAGACTCGTTTTCTAAGCCCCATGCCTTTCAGTGCTGTGCTCACCAGAGACCCTATACTAATCCTGGAGAAAAAAATTAACAGAACCAAAGAAGGGACAGAAGGATAGATACATGAACAAACTGATTCCCAATTTTCCCATTGATTTCCAGTGACCTCTCATCTTACCCACTATATGGATAAGGATAGAAGATAACGTGGGAGGGGCGCCTGGGTGGCGCAGTCGGTTAAGCGTCCGACTTCAGCCAGGTCACGATCTCGCGGTCCGTGAGTTCGAGCCCCGCGTCAGGCTCTGGGCTGATGGCTCAGAGCCTGGAGCCTGTTTCCGATTCTGTGTCTCCCTCTCTCTCTGCCCCTCCCCCGTTCATGCTCTGTCTCTCTCTGTCCCAAAAATAAAAATAAAACGTTGAAAAAAAAAAAATTAAAAAAAAAAAAAAAGAAGATAACGTGGGATATTTTGTCTATGTTGGCCTTTTTCAAAGAGGATCTCAAAGAACTTTATATAGACAGATTACTTGTAGTAGTGAGAAGTGAGTTTGAATCCTAGCTCCACCTTATTAAAATGTGAGTGCTTCCTCATGTGCCTGGGATAGAAAGGTGAGCCACACACTGTCCCTGCATTGATGGAGCTCACTGCCTGTGGCGGGAAACAGATGATCCAATAATAATGAAAATCAGCGTGGAAGTTTCCCTGTGATGGTGCCCCCATGCTGTGCATATCTAATAAAGGAGTCGTGGAGGTGACAGGTAAGGATGAGCTAAACTTGACCAAGCTAACAACTGTATGAGATTGGGTGGGTCATTAGTCTGTGTCCAGTCTCTCTGTCTGTAAACATGAGAATACTACAGACTCTGAGAGGCTTCAAGAAACTAAGTGTCTAAACATGGGGCCCGATGGCCCAATAAAGGTTAGGTTTCTCTTTACATTCTCTTTCTACTAAACCCAAAGTTCCTACTTTCTCTATCAGGTCATACTCTTGCTAATAAGTAAAAATGCTACTTGTTTATAAACAACTAGAAGTGCAAATGACAGAGCAGAAAACTATCATCAAAATACAAATTTTACATTGTCACCTTTGAATGTAAAGTAGGTAACTGGCTATAAAGGCTAGCTGTCTTTTATGAGGCATTTGGGCACAATAATAAAGAGTTCTAAAGTCAAAAAAGCCTGGGTTCTGATCCACATTCTTTCACTAGTTATGTGGTCTTGGGAAAATCACCCTCCCTTGATTAAATGATGTACCAGTCCAATTCTGAAGAGAAATTCTGGAATTTTATAGGAGATTCACTAACTTGCTGGTGACCATCAACACCTGAACACTCTGTTCCTACTTCCATGACAGTACTGCCTGTGTGCACACTATATGTTATATGTGTGTGTGTGTGTGTTTCTAGATGTATATGTGACTATATAGGAGCAGACGCATATGTGTATTCACACACACACATATTAATGTTTCTCTCAAAGCATTTAAGAGTCTTATGTATCCTGGTCTCTCCAACACAACGCCTGGCACAAAGGAGGCGCTCAATAAATGTTCAATGAATAAAGGAATAAGTGAGCTAATGCACAATCAGGAAGAGACACAATTTTCCTCTTAAAATCTCAGGCGGATTGAAATTATGGCCCATCACCAAGATAGAATAAATGAAAGGGACAAGCTGGTCTTACTGGGCAGTAGGTGATGAGGCATTGCATGACATCTGGAGACTGGCTATGACAGTAAGTTAACTATGACCAGAAACTTTAGCAGACCATCGCTTTCTCCCCAAATTATAAAATTTAGCATTTGCTCTATGGGCTGAGTGGTGGGGAAATCTCTCTTTAGCAGTCCAAAAGGTGCCAGCCTTTTGGAGGAAAGGTTTGGTTAGAGGAAATGCCCCAAGGACCACATCTTACAGCAAGCAGCATTTACTATCAGGTTCAAAGAGAATAAATTAGAATCAGAATTTCATCCTATGCTTCAACAATGGGCCATTTTCTCCTCTCAAAGGAAATATTCTGCCTTAGTCCCCCTCAAAAACACCACCTTCAAATCTTATACATTATTTAGTGAATTCTTTGGGGAGAAAAAAATCTCCAAAAAGAAAATAAAGAGTCTTACATGGTCAAGTGGAAAAAACGGAAACAAAGAAAGGCTAAGTGATTTACCCTATGGCATACTTGTCTTCTGATATATAGAACTAAGAAAGTTAAATCTTAAAGTTCATAGTTGCGGTCAACAGACTAGCCTGCTTTGTAAAATAAATACAGCTAAAACGAGCCTTGTAAAGATCGAGGTAGGAAGGAGATAAGGCCACATCAGTATTTAATATAGGTAAAACATAGATGTGCCATTTAAAATAGGGCCCCATAAGGCGCAATACTGTTGTAAATAAGACCCAGTTCAAATGAGATCCCTCATTTATATACATTTTGTATATTCAACTCAGACTTGCAGAAATGTGTGTGTGTGTGTGTGTGTGTGTGTGTGAGGATAACCAGAACCTACAGTGTTTAAAATAAGTGTAATTCAGATAAGGTGGCAGCTGTGTAATGACCTAAGAAACATATTTTTAAATCTTGTAAATTAAAGCTTTTCCCCTTTCTTGATTATCTTGACTTTGAGGAACATATTGTGCAATTTTGGGGGCTGGGATAGTGATGAATCAAACATTTTAGAAACCTTTGAAATGCTGATGTATTTGTGGTTGAGGACTCAGGTTTTTTTTTAACCACCATATGTTTCAAACCCAAACAATCTCTGCCATGCATCAGCTGGACTTTGGGGTTTTATCAAAAATGTGAGTTATTTCAGCCTGATTGGTGGGAAATTCACTTAATTCCACAAGATGACTAACGCTCATAATAAACTCATTAAAGCGCAAAGCAAAATATAATCTCCATCCCTACTCCTAAACCAACACTTTTGACAGAAGAATGTTTTTTAATCTCCAAAAGATCAACTGACTAAAAGAATACTCATTCTTAACATGGGAACTGGTGAAATTAGGTACTGTTACCTTCCTCCCTGAATTCCCTTTCTAATGAAAAGGGGAAGTTGAAAGGGAGTCGGGGAATGGCCTTAAATTTCAGAATGAACTAGAAAAGATGTGAAGGACAAAACCTAAACTAGGCTGGTGATGTCAAAAGGCGCCACCACGTGGTGCACTGGAGGAAGTGCAGCCTCCTGCACTCTGGCACAGGCCGTCTGAGGGACCTCTGAGGGAGACGGAGCGGTTCACCTACTGTAGTTGCCCCAGAGCAACTGCCTTGAAGCCCAACACCCTGGGGTGGGGAGAGGGCAATCGATATCATCTGTGATTCACAGTTTTGAGAAACTGGGTGTGTTAAGTAAATACCACTACAGGTAGCCACGTCGGAATTGTAATCCAAGTCCTCTGATATAAAATCCAAACTCTGATGCCTCCATTTAATTTAACTCAGAATGGACACAGGTCAGGAAGCACTGTCAAAAGACTGCACATGACTGTCTGAAGTTAAAGTGGTAATTCTTTCTTCTAAATTCCATGAGAGATTTAGAGCTTTGTTCATAAAAAAAAACAAAACAAAAAACAAACAAACAAAAAAAAAACTAGAACTTTGCAGTGAAACATACATATATGTGCTTGTAGAAAAATACATATGCTTGTTGAGAAGACTGGAAAAATACAAATATGAAGGAAAAAATCTCTTAAAGTCCACTTAAAGATGCATTTATTTCCAGTCTCTTTCCTTTGTTTATATGTAGAATTTATTTTTTATAAAATTGGGCTCATTCTACATTTAAAATATTTAAGTCAACATTCCACAGCAAAAATACAATTTTATATAGAATGATGAACTTTCTAAACACTAGAAGAGGAGTAAGTACTCCCGAGCCTATAAGTTGTGGTGTAAATTGAAGGCTTCCAAGCAAATGTCTCAGAGATAACTGATCCTCTTATGCTTAACCTATTCAGGCAAAAGCTACATAGCTGGTTATTATAGAAAAGAAGCCTGAAGAGAAAGTGGACTTGGGTTTACATCCTAGCTCCACCAACAGGGGCTGCAAGACTTACAACAAGCCACTCCTCTCGATGGCCGTGTTCCTCTCTTACACAACTGAGGTGGCCACCTCTCTCTCTCTCCGGTCTAACTCAGAACGTTGTCAGGAAGAGTACATGAAATGATGGACATGAAACTCTTGGTAAATTACCCAGCTGTATGCCCACTCTTGAAGGTGCTTGGTATTCTCCAAGACACCTGTGCCTAGGAAGCACTTACACAGTTCCCATCTAGAACTGCATGGTAGGACTCTCTTTTCAAAAACTTAATAGTAAGTAGTGTAACTTCCTTGGAGTGGTTTCTATTTATCCGTAAGGATCAAATGCAGAATTTCTCTTTCTTTGAGGTCCCTGACTGCCTTGCTATCCTGGTTTATGTCTAAATATTCATCTCCTCTCTTCATTCCAATAAAATCCGAGGTAATTACATTCCCCTAACATTCCCACTCTGCTAGATTTTGGAGCTCACCAGGTTACTGCACATTTCTTCAGATCTCATTGTCCTTCCCAGTTGATTCAGAGAATCTCCCCATTGTTATCTGATTATATGGGTAACTCATTTCCAAACAAAATTTCCAGTTATTCCTGAGGGGATTTTTTTTATGGTTATGCCATTCCTAACACCATGTCTCTATCATTTCTTGCCTCCCTGTTTTGATCCTTTCGATACAACTGTAACTTTCTTATCAATTTTGCTATGTTTCCCAAATGCTAATCTATGACTATATCTTTATTTGGTTAGCCAATCAATCCACTTAATTTTTCCACAACTAACCCTAGTTGAGGCCAATAATGTTCAATCTTGCTAGGCTTTTTCTATCTTTTTCTTGTGTTTAAACAAAAATTCCTTTTGTCCTTTTTGGGCAGAACACATTGAATGCAGTAATAAACCAAACCCAGTGGGGACTGTACACACGCCTACACATGCCCTCAGTGGAGTGAGCTTTCTTAACATAGGACCGGGACACCTGAAGTGTGTTATTACACTTATGGGGGGGGGGGGGTGGTGGAAGCATCAACCAAGTCAACATCACTCAAGTTATAAATAGCAAATTATTTAAGTAAACTCACTATCAATTCTCTAAAGAAGTATTTTCAAAACTAAGCAAAAAACTTTCAGTCAACATGAGTCCCATCTCTGTCAACTTACTTTTACCCCATTCCCTGTGGCTGCCCACCCCCCAACCCCACCCCCTTCCTGCATCAATTTGGATTCCTGTTGGATTCGGGTGGGGCAGGAAAAGGGAAGAGCAGAAGATTATCAAAATAAAAATGGAAGCAGCAAAGATAAACAGAGTGAAAGGGATTAAAAAGACATTCCTTTGTGAGGCTGATCAGAGTAGGAGTGAACTAAGAAAAAATTATCAGAAGATTAATACTTGTTTTGTTTCCCTATGAGAGGGCAAAAAAAAAAAAAAAAAAAAAAAAAAAAAAAAAAAAACAAACATCCCATGCTACATGTTGCATTTGTTTTGCTTAAACTAATAACAGTGTGTCAATGCACATATTGTCCAATAATCTGTAGTCTTGGGCCTTTCCTCTCAATTTGCATTCTTCCAAACAGCCCTGCCACTTAGCACAGTGTCCTTGCTTATGACACTGTCTTAGTTCTTCAAGGCTTGGTTCAAATTCCATATGACCTATAAGGTTACCCATGACTCCTCCACCCCACAGACCTCTCCCTTCTGAAAAGATCACTGGGCAGCTGCTGTGTGCTGGTGACTCCTCCCAACTAGATGAGACGCTTCTCCAGGACAGGGAGCGTTGTCTCACCGACAATTAAAGCCTCTTCTCCTTCATAGAACGGTTATGCCTGCCACATACTCAGACCGATTTATCCCTACATCTAGCCGATAGGCATTATCCATTAACACACCAATGCTCCACTTGTCACCAAACACGAGGGTGCTGTGGTCACTGCTCTTGTTCTGAAGCATAACTGCAGACCCAGCTCCACTGGAGGATAACTGTGGCTCTTTACCCAATCCTTCTGGAAAAGCCATCCAGAAGTGGTAGTCAGAGCCCAGCCCGAGGCCTAACCCCAAGCCAAAGATTCCCCTGATGGTGAAGGGGTGTCCGGGTCTCCAAAGAGGGTTTTCCAGTTATAGAATGCTCCTCTGCCAGAACAGTCCAGATTCATCCCATCTATTGTAAAACTTGCTTTTTTAAGGTTTAAGGATGGCATCGCCTCAGTAACACCTACCACTGCTGGGGAACTGAAGAGCCTCATTAACCATCATCTCTCAGTGATAGAACATTGCAGAGAAGAAGAGCTATAGATATGCAAATCGTCATTATTCATCACGAACATTCAGGGTAAAAACAGTTTTAGCATCTTTTCATGCTCTTAAAAAAATGTTTCAAAGAAAGAAAATTACTTACTGCCTTCCCACGTACAATGCAAAAGATTCAAAGCCCCTTCCACCCTCTTCCAGTGCGCCAGATGAAAGAACGCATATGCTATTGCTTCACTGTCCCCTCGCTTCAGGATATGTTCTGGGGGTAGAATTAAGCTTTTCATTTCTAGTAGGTACTGAAATAAAAAAGGCAGGAGACAGATGCATTAATACATTAGTAGCGTGGAATTCAATACTGAGAATAGAGGTTGATTTCTCTAAAGCTACCACTCATAAGCATTTCATCAAACCTGCATCCTTGTTAGTACATTTGAAGGCAATTATGAAGTCATCCAGCAACCCAAAGTTTGCTAACAGATAGTTAGCCTTGTACTAGTTTCCTACAGTGAAGATCAGAGGCTTTGAGGGTAAGATACTCTAATCAACGAAATATATGGAGACTCAAATGGCAAAAAGGAAAATTTAGAAGACACAATAAGTTGATATAATTTTGTAACCAGAAAGAAAATACCTAAAATGGACACATGAAGGTTAAGTCATATGACTGAACTGACTGTACTAGAGAGACTGACTAGCACTGCCCATTAACTTTTCTGTACAGACTTACCAAGGAGAAGGACCTAGTCCTGTGAAAAGAGCCACACATCGTTGTTCACATGCAGAGGGAGGAGGTGTGGCAGACTGAGCCCAGGAAGACCCCAGGGAGGGGAACAGCACAGACCCTAAATTATACTGTTCTTTTAGATCTTTCCCAAAGTCTGAAGGGCCCTCAGCTTATGCCTCCTCATTCCTCTCTTCCACAAAGGAGATGGGAGCACAGGGCCAGAATGAATTCTTTGGTGTTTACAACAGAATAGAAAGGGAAGCAAATTTAGGGTGGTGTTTTATACTTGCGAATGTTAACTTCTTTTTGCTGGCTGGCTCTTCCCTTGGCTTCACTCCTCACACACACATACACACACACCACCACCATCACAACAATCCATGCATCTCCTTTAGAATGGACATCAGCAGATGATGGAGGGATGTGTTTAATGAAAATGGGACAAACACAGTAAAAGGAAGTGCTAGGAGAAGAGATGTTCAACAACTTTAATGTCAGAAACAACTGCCTATGGATTTATCTGTCAGTGGAATTTACGAAAGAGGGTGAAGAATGGAAGAATCCCGGTATACAAGATGGAGGTTATGATACACCTATCAGTGCTCTGTTATCATCTCACTGGGGATCTATGTGCTTTGGGCACTCTGAGTGTAGTTGCCTCTAAGCTTCCTCTCCTGTTGGTGCACCCAGTATTGGGATGCACTGCCTGTCAGGAGCCAGGAGGACACATTCTGCCCTCCTGGTTCAGCAAGTGAAACTTTCCTCACTCTGGTTCCGTTCCGTGAAGAGATGTCTAAGCTCAGGCCTCACATCAGGAAGGGCAAAAAAGTGAGACTGCCTGCCCAGAGTGTAGCAGAGAAGAGGAGTACAGCCATCTCACTTGGTGGGGCGTGCATAAAAGGCCCTCCTTCGACAGAAAGACCCCCATAGGAAGACCTCTTCCCAGACTGGTCCATGAAAGGTGTTTATTGCTTTAATGGGAACTTCTCAAGTATGAGTTCCAAAAGAACTTTTTGGTCATATGACTTTTTAAATTCTACAAGTCACTGTCTTCCTCCATCTTGTTTTCAAACAGTGCAGAACAAAAGTCCTTTGGGGAAAATTACAATTTTGAGTTACCTAGTAATCCAACCAGTACTACATTTATAATGAATAGCAACCATAATATAAATATCAGGGTGAATTTTATGTTCAGAGATACTTGGCTATCCTCTCATGATCTTGTTACCTCAAACGAAGCTATTACACTGTATGTTGTCACTGCTCATGATGTTCTTAAAAGAATCCAAGGCAATGAGTCATGAGAAAGATATAGAACGGGTAAAGTGCTATTAATTAATTGTATTAATTAATTGTTTCAGAGTAAGAGAAGAAAAATCATTTGGTTACTCTTCATAATCATCGGAACAAAGGAAAGGGTGGGGCGCCTGGGTGGCTCAGTTGGTTAAGCGTCCGACTTCAGCTCAGGTCATGATCTCACGGTTTGTGGGTTCAAGACCCGCATTGGGCTGTGTGCTGACAGCTCTGAGCCTGGAGCCTGCTTCAGATTCTGTGTCTCCTCTCAATCTGCCCCTCCCCTGCTCGCTCTCTCTCTCTCTCTCAAAAATAAACATTAAAAAAAAAAAAAAAGAACAAAGGAAAGGGAAATTTTCTTACCTAAGATGAGCCCTAGGATAAGATTTTATTTCTGAGTTTCTAATAATTATTTATAGCCACACTGCCTACCAAACAGTCAATTTTTAAAGAAAGAACATGTTGTATGAACTCTGAAACAAACTAAATATGAAAACCATTAGTGCATGTGGCCCAGTTATACAGAAACTTCTTCAAGTCCCTGAGAATCAGATGGTGGCTGAAAGAAAAGTGTAAACTACCATTCTTTTTATTTCTATGATTAGGAAAGCCTTTTAAAGTGATTGCATTAAGCATCTACAAGAGAAGTCTTCTCTTGACCTAAGGAACTGTCAGGAATAGGGGCCCCTGAGAAGAAGTAGGCCTGGTAGCCACCCACATTTGTGGGTAGACATTGAAACAAAGTCAGGTATCTCACCGCTGCGTCGGTGCAGGTAGGGGATTGAGCTCGAGCTAGCTCGAATACAGGCTCTTTGCTTTTGCATCGGACTCAGCTCCCTGGTGGTCTTTGGGGATCATGAATTCTGGGCATAACATTTGGTCAGGGCGGGGTAAAGAAAACCTGTGTGTGTGTAGAGGAGTAGAAAATTACCTATAAAAGGATATAATAGATCTGCATTACCCAATATGGTAGCATCTCCCACATGTGACTATTTAAATTTAAATTGATTAAAATCAACGTTTATTTATTTTTGGGACAGAGAGAGACAGAGCATGAACGGGGGAGGGGCAGAGAGAGAGGGAGACACAGAATCGGAAACAGGCTCCAGGCTCTGAGCCATCAGCCCAGAGCCCGACGCGGGGCTCGAACTCACGGACCGCGAGATCGTGACCTGGCTCAAGTCGGACGCTCAACCGACTGTGCCACCCAGGCGCCCCATAAATTGATTAAAATCAAATAAAATTAAAAATTCATTTCTTCAGTCCCACTAGCCATAATTCCAAGTCCTCAAGGGCAGCATATAGTTAAAGACTACCATATTGGACAATGCAGAGACATTTCTGTTAACGTAGAAGGTTCTACTGCACAGCACTGTGTAGACAGTGAGAGTTTCCAATCTTCAAGTAACTAAAACAATTTTTAACATAAAAAACTTTATAGACACCCATGATAGGAATTATAAGTAGAGTATCTATCGATTGAAAACACACAATATGGCAAAAAGCTACAATAAATGTAATCAAGAATTCATTTAAAAGCATTGTTGGCCACCAGGGCATCTAAATATACTTGGAAAATAGTACACATGTGTGTGAGACAGATGGTTTACTCAGCTTGCAGGCTGAATGTGGTACATATGGCTTCAAAGACATTATCGTCCATAGCCCAAAATCAGGTCATGAGGTAATGCTCTGTTTTTCCTCTAAGCTGCATCTGATCTTTGTGTATGTGTACTTTTCACACATTGCCTTAAATTCGTTATCTATGTGCTTTTCCCCTCAGCTGAATCATTAGATCCTCAAGAGCATGAATCTCACTTCCTAACAAGTCTCTCAAAGTGGGCATCCTTGCTCTAATCAGCCTCATGAGGCTAACCAGAGCAACTCACCAAGGACACTTAGTTATCTTCTCATCGAATCTACTTTATGGCAGAAATAGGTTATGCCTATAAAGGAGATTTATACTCCAGTACAGTTCCAAACAAAATGTTGGCTCTAACCAGATGATGAAGGCTAATAACAACAATGTGTTATGTTTTTGGCCAGGCTTAAAAATGGCTGGCAAGATCGGTTCTCAACATGTGCAACGTTTAAATTAGAAAGGCATGGAACAACATTTCACATCTTACTTGTCAAGAGAAAAATAAATGGAAGAGGGCAGATCCCTATCCACAAATATGCAGAAATCAATTAGAATAGCTGTAGCTCGCAAATCAGAGAACACTCTCTGCCTGTCTGTAATAATTATTTGGCTCCTATTAGCTAAGCCAGCATTCCGTGCTATCTTGCCGCCACCCTGCCTCTAACTTCCTTCCCAGATTCTCAAATCATATTGATCTTGAAGTTCAGGCTTCTAGAGTTTTCGGAAGCAACTTTCAAAACCTATTTGTCAGAGTATGATTCCTTATGTCCATAGGAACATATAAAGTCAGAACATATAAAGAGGAGCTGATTAGTGCCTTTTTATGGAGGGATTTAAGCAGAGACAGCTCACCTGTTAGGAGATCTGGCCCATCAGAGGCCACCCCAGGTGACTGCTCAGTTCTCTTGTGTTAAGGTTCTAAAATTCTATAACAATTTGAGTGAAAATGATCCCAAGGTTACACTTCACCATAGATATTAATGTCAAGGAATTAATTCATACCCCACCCCGTTTTGTTTTGTTTTTTGGTTTTTTTGGATTTTAAATACCAACAACAGAAGTCATATGAGAATCATTAGAAAAAAACAGAAACAAACAAAATGAGAAAGTATAGATTAATTTTAGCACATTTAGCTAAACTTAGGTAAATTTAATACATTTAGGTAAATTTTAGCACATTTAGATGATGGTTACCCGGCTGCTCCCAAAAATCAGTTCGTGGAAGAATACTAGCATGAGAAAATGTACATGATATATTGCCAAATGAAAAAAATAAGTGTTTCATACAGATTATGATTTTGGTAATTAAAAATGTATATGTGGGTATTAAAACTTTGGAAAGTTACAGATTGAATGTTATTGGTGGTTAAATATTTGATTTTATGTGAGATTAATTTCTTTTTGTGCTTTTTTGGTGCTTTCTAAGTTTTCTGTAATAAGTCATTTTTATTTCTCTCTTTCTCTCTCTCTATATATGTACATATGTGTGTATGTACATATGTAATACAAACCTCTTTTCTAGACTTGCAATGAAAACAAAAACAAGCCATACAAACAAACAAACAAACAAAAAGATAACCAGGGACAGTAATTTCTGTATGATTACAGTGCTTTGGTACAACTAAACCTGAGAGAGG